GAACGACGTGTGCTACAACGTACACAAAATCAACCATGAACTTACTAGATGCGACGAATTTCACGGGTTCTGCTTCATCTTCAGGGATGTCTGCTGCAACGGTGGAAGGCTTTTATAAGGACGAAAACAAAGTATTGTTTCGCCTGGTACTCTTTCAAAGCGACTTGAAACTTTGAGGAACTAAATTATCTACAAAATCATCCTCTGCATTCACGTGCTCAGCCATGGCAGCCATTTAAAATATGAATATCACGGGCCTTGAATATCGAAGGGATTGAGTAGATTTAAACAACCTTCAACAAAACTGTGGCCGTTTGGGAAGTTCTCATATGCCCGAAAAATTACCATCAAATGTTAAAACTTTATGTTAAAGTTTTCCTCCTTCGAACCACGGTTTCAGAGAAATTTTGGGTGTGCGTCTAGCCACCGGCCCTCGGCTGGTGGTGAAATGTTTCCCATCAAACTGCCCGGCTCAACGAACCAGCCAAAGACCGTACTGGATACTAAACGGCTGTTGGGTTTGGCTTTCGGCCAATCAGAGATCCCCTTGGTGCTAGACCGCCACACAACCCTTGCTTGTGGCCCGTCGCCTGAGTGTTGGTTCCTTGGCCAGAGCAGCACGAACTTTGGTGTGGGATTTCGTCTACGACTACTTCTTTGACACCGACACCTACGACTTCGCATTGCGCGTTTTATATCTTTTCGTGCTAGATTCGGTCTTTGTTCTTCAACTTTCTTTTTGATCATTTCTCCCAGGAATCTACGTTGTCAAAATATCTAAAACGTTATAACCATCATGAAGCTGTAGGTTGTCGTGTCAGATAAACAAAGGCTACTGGCTAGATCAAGACGCTTCTGATCTTGAAACTTTCAATCAAGCCATCTCGCCCACCAACCCGGAGCTGTCACGTATTGATACGCAGGATCGAGGCTTTTGCCCAAGTTTCCCGGGTCGGTTTCGTTCTTGTCGTTCAGCGGCTGTCGTTCACCTGAAAGGCACAAGTGAAAAAAGGAGTTTAGCGCTGCTCTTTATGTTCTCAGCGCGGGGCAGTATGCTTTCCAGCGCGAGGATTCGCGTAAATAAATGTCTAGTAGTGCTTTGTACTGGGTTCTAGAAGGAGTGTGGACAACCGTCGGAGAAAGGTCATTCCATACAGCTAATACCCGAAATGAGAAAAAACTTTGCTCAATGAATGTGTGTACTCTGAGCTTCAAAGTCTCCCTACCATGTCCCCGCCGTGTGACTGCTGGGTCAACGGTGACAAACATTTTGGCCACTCTTTGTTCAAACAGGGCATAAGTAAGAATTAGGTCCCCTCGGAGGCGACGATATTCCAAGGGAAAGAGATCAGGCATCGCGAGACGGGTTTTGTAGTCCACGGATTTGAGGCCGACAACATTCTCGTAGCGGTTTGCTGGACACAATGAGGGTGACGTCTTTCGTGCGTCCTGAGTAGACAACTTGGTTGGCGTATTCCAGGAGCGGTCTGACATAGGCCCCATAGAGTATTCGGAAGTCCATGCGAGTGATACGGGAGAAGGTGCGTTGGATCATCCATAAAAGGGCGAATGCTTTTTGGGCCGGTTTCTCGTGGTGCAGTGAGAAGGACAAGTTTGAGGAGGCCCAGATACCCAAATCCTTTCTGGCGTTTATCCTCATGATGTTTTCTGGTCCTTTCTCACTATGTATGACAAATGCATTCACTGAGTCTCCTCCAAATGACATATGGACGCACTTTTCGTCATTCAGAGGAAGGTGCCAGTCCGACGACCACTGCTCTGCAGCGTCTACATCTATTTGGAGGGCACTGGCAGTGGAACTCCAAGGTTTCAACTCGTCCGCAAAAAGTAGACATGAACTTACAAGAACATCTGGAAGGTCGTTGACGTAGATCAGAAACAGGAGTGGTCCCAGGATGAAGCCTTGAGGAACTCCAGTGGAGACCGGCTCTGGAGGAGAGTAGATCGAGCCTATTCTCACTCGGAATGATCTGTCTGATAGGAACGCCCTGATCCTTACATTTGATCCCGTAAGATTCGAGTTTGTAGAGCAGCGGGACATGTGGAACCCTATCAGTTTCAGACTAATCGCTCGGCTGTGACACCCTTTCGGTTGCTAACTGTCATGCCAGCCAAAAAAGCACAAGACGTGAGATACTGCCAGGTTGTCCAAGCCTAGACAGGAGCAGTCGAGATCCATAGCTCAAGTTCAAACCGCGGACCTTCCGGTCAGTAAAGTCGCGCTTTAACAACTGATCCATCTCAAAATACGATGGTCCTGTGGTCTACATTGGTTGGAACTTAGTTTCACGGGGTTGACACACATCAGAAAGATCATTGGTGCACCCCCTGATGCACTGGTTCCTGGCATCTGCGGCCTGGGAATAGTGCCTAGCCCAAGGGTCGAATATTTCTCACTGGACTGGATTCCAGCTGGTGATTGACCGGTTTAATCAATATCAATTCATAACGGTGTTTGTCTGTTGTGTCAACATACACTCCAGCAGACGCAGCTCTGGGGCTGAGGAAAACAGGTTCTGTCGAGAAGGATTACACTAATAAGGTTGCTACCCACGACCGGTTTTGCTCTTCTTGGGGCTCGTCAGGTACGCGCAGTACCCGAGTTTCCGTCATCATCATAAACGAGAGATTCAGCTGGGTTCAGGGTGAGTCCCCCGCAAAACAAAATGGGTTTGCAGATGAGTATTTCACTAGTTTCTGTCGAGTAGGTGCCTGGGCCGGCGAGTATTACGCATATCGCGCTTCTGGCCGGTAATATGAGTGCGCGGGTCGGTCAAATAGGTCCTAAGGAAACCCGTCTTGGTGGCCGATTCAGGATTGCTACTCACAGCACAAACGATGGGGACTAGCTTCCTCACCTATGTACCGAACAACAATTGTTTCTAGCCAGCATAATCTCTTAACATAAGTGCTCACACCTTGCTGCTTGGAGGTCATCAACTACATACTTGCCGTGGACTCAATTGCACCGTGGCAATCAGCTACTGGTGGCAATCTTCGATGCAACTCTCATAGTACGCCACTGAACTCCAATCCCTGGATTGTGCGGGAACACACTGGTTGATGCAGAGCCATTCAGTTCGTCATCTGCAAAGCTTCTCTGTAGCTCAACAATATCGATTTAACCTGGCGAAGAAGCTTCCAAAGCTCGATGAGAATAATGGTGATTTGGATGACGATTAGGTAGAAGTGGAAGAAAAGTAATACAGCTGTAGCACTCTTTCTGTGCTTAACTGCCATGCCACCTGGCGGAAGCACGAGGGCTGGGATACTGCCATGGTGCATAAACTTAGACAGGGAAGTCGAGAGGTAGAGGTAGGGTTCGAACCACGGACCTTCCGATCAGTAAATCAGCGCTCCAACAAGTGAGCCATCTCACCGTTTTCGCAGCTTTTTAAACCGTATGCCCGAGATCCTTCGCTTACCCCAGTGAAGCAATGACAGACAATACTGGTCGATTGCAAATGTCCAGTAAATGGAAAAGGCCTCTGTAATGGGGAACACTTGCATCCTGTTCGAGATCAACTGTCCCGAGTTGGGTGGATGCTAGTGAGACTATCTCCGAAAAGGATGGAACTTCGATTTATTCATAGAAACATCGTCTTGAACGATGGGCTGAATACTGAAGAACAGCTGAGTTGGCCGCCATCAGCTCTGTCTCTGGAAGGACCAAATTAAGAGGGGTGCAGCGTCGATTCTAGTCTCTTCTCGACAATGGGATTCTAGCATGCAGCTTCACCGCAACAAAGCACCTGGTTCATGTGGTTTGCTTATTGTAATCTCCAAAAAAGTTGACGAGTTTGCGTGGCCATTTTGACGACGCTACTCCAAAACATCTGGATTGAGGAAAGAACACCCATAATGGCGTGCTTCGACAACGATTTCTGTGTTGAAAAAGTGTGCAAGAACATCGCCCAAAAGTCATCGTGACATTACTCTAGTATCCACGGCGTTCAGGGTGTTCTTCGGTATTGTCCCACGCAGGTTGACCCGTCAATGGGAGATTCAGCCTCGCGAGAATCAAGCTGGGTTTAGTCTTAATCGGGGTTTTATTGATCACATCTCCGCTTTGCGACAGGTGGTAGAACTGCACCACTTCTGATGATCAAACAATGATGAGCATTCCTTATCTCAGATCTGTTTTTGACCCCGTTGATCGTCAGAAATTGGTAGTCTGGCGAGGAAGCGTGTCCCTCCTGATTTTCCGTCCATTATAAGGCCTCTTTACGCCTACTCCCGTCTCCGGTAAATTCTCTGATGAGTTCACCACATCCAGTGGTGTCACACAAGCATGTCCTCTTTTGCCTTTTCTCCTTAACTTCCCAACTGATATGCTGCTTAAGCCCTCCATACTTGCTGCTAACACCTCGGGAATTGATATACTTCCGATGTATTCGCTCACGGACATTAAGTACGCAGAAGATATGAATCTTCTTCGATCAGATCTTTTAAAATGCAAACCTTAAAATAGCTGCTGAATAGTGCGGTATGCACTTCTCACTTGCAGTGTGAGGTGGTACCGTTAAGTTGAATGGCATCAAACCCAGTCCTCGTGCCTACAGGTGATCCGATCGATGTGGCAGACAACTTCGTTTGCCTGGTCAACTGTGTAAGTCCTGACGTGCTGGAGATGTCCTAGGGGCTGTGATGTATATGCATGATGTGCATGTATGATGTATATGATGTGTGTGTTTAAGGACTCACATGGACTGGTAAGTAAGCAATATCGTGACTTATGGCAATATTAACCAGTTTCAAACGTTTTCCGTATTTTAGTTTATGTCGGCCACCCCAAATGTCGTTGATGCCTTCGTTGACTTCACACCATGGTATGATGGCTTACGACTGTTGAACGAGGCAGAAGAAGCTGAACGTATTTCCTTGACTTTGAGTTTCAAAACAAGGCACGTTTTCCAGTCGCATTTGATTTGTGCTAGAAGCCATGTTAGTTTGTGAAAGACTTTTTAATAGACGCTCATGAGTAGAGTGCCAAGAACATGTTCGACACGCTCTTTGTCATCTCTGTAGGGGTTCTGTTTTCGGTGTGAAACTATTTCGTGCCTCGAGGTTTATTTTCCGGCATTGATGCTTGATCTTTGTCGTTTGTCTCGCTTGCTTGCGTTGTTGTTAAACGGTAAACCAGACCAAGTTTTGACAATCTGTTGTTACGTGGCTACACCGTAGCTTCAATGTAGTTTGACGATTGATGTGCTTTCAGGGTACTAAAGCGGATTCAGGCCTTCAACCTTTCAGTCTGTGTCCAACACCTTTCACCGTGAGCTACTAGGTTGACGTTCAGAGCAGTGATTCGTATATCGTGAGGGTAGCTACTTGTGCTACGTGACCAATGTTTTATATTGTGAAACAAATTTTTTCATGTAATATACGATTTCTGTTATTTTGACGATGTTACTACACATCGCATATGATGATATCTTATTCAAGTGGGCTTGTTTTGTGTGCTCGAATGTTTCGTATAATAGCTTATTTAGCTTATAATTAGCAGGCTAAATAAGCTGGATAGAGTTCCTTGTCGGTTTTAACTACCGTAACAGCTGATCAGAAGGCTATTGAAAAGGGGTTCGCAGCAACGCCAATCGCATTAATACTGGATAAAAATGGAATGATTTTAATGCAAGCAGTTGTTGAGAGAGACCATCACACACATCAGGAACATTTTAATTCTCCACACGATTGTTTTCTTTTGCGAGATTGAAATTTTTAGAGGGACCAACAGGTAGCAATCCCGAATTCCGTTACCTGAGCAAAGTGCTTCGGGAGACAGCCTTCCTTTGAATCACCGATATGCTATTTCAGAGGTGTCTTTGTATCGGGTTGACTGTTTTCTTCAATGGGACATCTCTACCACTGCAATACAATTCCTTTCTATTTCAGAACCGTTGAGAAGGCTACTTCTGTACCGCAAGACGAAGGGCGTCAGTGACTTATGTCTGACCATAGCTCATCGCCCGTTACACGATCCCGTCGACCGAAGCGTTTACCAGCCAAAACCTGCGATGTAAGTGAGTTAGGCAACTCGCCTAAAAGTGTTTTATTTACCAGTAGGTCGTAACAAGGAAGTCTCGTGAGACATCTCTTTATCATCTTTGGCGCAGATAGACTAAACAAAGAAAATTCTGAAACTGTTCCATTTGCTACCAACTGCGGAATACTAATTTCACTGAATGACCGATTAACGTTTACTGTGTATGAATACCCACTTCTTCGGAGTTTCCTTCAGATACCTCTGATTTTTCGGCGTTCGATCCCTGATAGAAACTGTATGGAGATGAAAAATCGAGGTTAGACGGACCAGTTTTTCACCTGGGTGCCACAGCGATTCTGTGGTACATTGATTCAGGTAAAATCTGAGAACTCACTGAACTGGCTCCTTAGTTTGGTCGACACGTAACGTAATGGGCTTTATCCACAAGGGATTCAGTCAACACCATTTCTGTTTGCGAATGCACACACATGCAATTCCATGTTTAAGTGCGCAATAAGGCTAGCGGAAATTTGAGGACTAGACCCACCTGACAAGCCTCAGAATGGCAGAATCAACAGCTCTCCCAAGTTTCTCACCAATTTTAGAAGTAGTGCCTTGTAGCATACGTAGTTTTTTGTGTGGGTGTTATACATCTCTTCCGTTCTGGGGAGATCATCTCCAAGGGGGTGCAATGATTACAGCAGTCCTTGGGATCCAACCTTAGTGTGATTGCTTTTGCATAATGAACAGGAATTTCTAATTCATTTGACGTAACATACTGCTCTATCTTTTACTGCCTCTTTATTGAAATTGTTTTCTGAAGCGAATTTTTCAACCGAATAATAATACTTGGAGTTAGCAGAACTATTCACTTCATCCTTCCTTCGGAGTTACGATTTTGTGGAAAGTTAGAGCGAGTTGAATTCACAATACTCCACATGGCTTCCAAACAACACCCTCAGGTATAAGCCGCTGGCCCGGGCTTTCCCTCGGACAGTGGCAGTCAAATGATCCGTTTGTATAAGCGCTTATTTTGCTTTTCGACCTTCTAAATGATTTTTCTCATCTTTTACCTTTTATCGAATGGAATGATATCGTTTACTGCGACATTGTTGTGGCCCAAAATTATTGGCATGCATCCACGCATCCTTTAAGAATGATCCATCGTCTTTTTTCCGCCAACAGAACTTGACAGTACCGAAGGTTCACATCTTTTTGGATCATATGGAAGTTTCTGCGTGAATTGACCGAGATGAACTCGCTTCTATGTGAATCGACCCTTTACTATGTGCATCTCTTTTGAAGGAGCACTTTTTGACAGCGATTTTCTCCCGCAATGCTTGTAGGATCCGGGCGGCTAAGGATCTTACAGGACCATACACATTTCTCATTCAGTAGGCTGTCGAAACAGAAGCAAAAGGGGATAAATACTGGTCTGTCAACTGGTTTTATGGATAAATGGATTAATAAACCTTATGAATTAAGCAGAACGTACAATCAACAACAGTGCCATCATTGGGATAAGGAAAAGGGGCAATGAAGCAACAGGGCCCTCCAGAAGTAACAATGAGTAACTAGCAGGTGATACATAAACGTACGGATATGGGCAATCAGAATCTAAATGGGCAGTATATAGAGATAACAGCGTAGATGGTAATCAGTACGTTCGCGAGGTATTCTCGAGTCAAAAAGAAACGGAGGGTGTTTGGAAAACGGGTATCGGGTGAATTTGGCACAAATTTAGTATACTTTTAGTCTTCAGCCGATAGCGTAACAAGGTAGCACGTGCTACATGTCCACAAACTGCGTAAAAGGCCGACATATATCTATGTCGGAGTATTTCTGTGTGCTGTCAAGAAACGCCTTTTGCCGACATTATTCGTGAGACCATACACGTTATGTAATATGTAAACACGCTACGGGTTTTCTGCTGTGTTTATGGTTAAGCTGGAAGACGTCTTCGCTTACTGTCAATCAGGGTAAACGTAGTTTTACGTAGTCACAATGAGTGTTATCCCAAACTGATATACCTGAAGCCTGTTTATAACTTTACGCCTGGTTCAGGACAATGTTCTTGGAATTTCCTGGAAGGAAGAACGTGAACTGCGTAAAGCCATGTACGTCTCCCTGCGCCAAAAAAACAAACCTTCCAATGGACCCCAACTTCGCTCCCGTAAGATACTGCATCGCCAAGCCTCTCGAAAGCATTCATCAACGGGGGAAAATGGGTTCAAGGTGAGCGCAGTCAGCCTCCGCAACCCTGTGCGAGGTCGAGAAGCTCTTGCCAAGCGCATTGCCCAGGGCGAGCTTCGCGCAGCTAAATTGCGTGCAACATCGCGGTTGCGTTCTGACTCTACACACGTAGGGTCCAGGTCGACACGCGCAAACGGATTTCATAACAATAAAGGAGGACTGAAAACGGAAAATGAAACTAACTTCACCGATGTAAGTGTTGTTCACCACGATCCACATCTCACTCACTACTATGAAGTTTCTCACTCACTGTTGGTAATACATGTTGGTTATTCTGTAGACGTGTGTGTGTATACGCCTGTGTGAACATGACAGTTTCCATACAGGACGGTCGTGCCTCTAAACTAGTACAGGTGGGTAGTCTCAACTGTGATGGACTCTAGCAGTTTGATAGTGAATTCTCTTTATTCTCTTTTAGTCTCCTTTGTCTAGATCATATCGAAATACCAGGAACTTGCTGCTCTGCTTCCATTTTTATCGATAATTACTGTAAAGTATTAGCCCTTAACGGGGAGCACCACCAAAACCGGGCAAAGTCTAGCATTTTGCTGGTATTGTTTCCTCTGGGCTTGGAACAAGATTCGCCAAGGAACGGTGGTAACATGAGGGTACCCACAGGTTCCTGTGCCTGTAAACTGGTGAATGAGGACACCTAGTTGTCAATAATCATCGGCTCCTTGTGTTTCGGAATCCGTGAACAGTTAATTTCGAAGATGAATCAGTGTAGGAACTACCCTGAATACCTGCAAGATTCTCTGTTTGAGGCTCCGTTTGTTTATGTTTTGCAATGCGTTGATGGTGGTTGGATTTTCAGATTCCTAGTAAGTTCATGGTGGATTTGTATTCCAGCTGTTGCACACAACTAGAGATCATTGGTGTGAAATGTTTGAAGTAACCAGCGGACGAATACGTTTGCTAAGGCTTAGTGCATTCACAAAAGCATTTTAGGGTCTCTTCGCTGTGGTGCCCACTTGTGGCATCTTCATCCTGTCTTCCGTTCTTTCGGTCCGACAGTGTCTACCTCCTTCGAAATTTAAGTTCAGTTTGGGACAGTGTGAAACATTAAGGTTGACACATTATACATTTATGTCACTGCTCCAGTTTCTCCCAAAGGCCTATACTAGTCAACAGCTGATAACCTGAATTTATGGGTTTATTCGCGGATTTGTTGGGCAGGCGCGTAAACTAGCACTCCCTCAAGCGCTCTTTTGCACAATAAGCTATGATTTCTGTTTTTCTGATTCTGTGACCGACCCCATCAAGAATCGGTGAAGAATATATTTTTACGAGTGTGACAACACGATCTAAAAGTGAACTCGAGTTCAGCTTTTGTTTCCCCGCACTTGAGGGAATATTGCTTGCATTCAGACACACCAGGGCAACAATGGCTAAGCCAAATTCGAATTCAGAGCTGCATCCAAAGTCCAACAGAACCCATTTCGTCTGTGCCAAAGTAGGTCGGTGAAGTAGGCACAAACCAGTAATCATGAATAGTGAGCTACCGCGTGGCTTAACTCGACTTGAAGCGCCACCAATGTGAGTCTCGTGCACCTACTCAGTGGACGTATTGGTAGAGCTATTTCCTTGTTTTGTGTAACCCGTGTGTTGTCCCTGTTTGTAAACGCGCGTGGCAACATCTCGGATACTTCCGATTGTACATATCCGAAGGCTAGCTTCTACTGATACCAGTCTCCTGGACATTGTTCACCTTTTGAAGGGTTTTCTCTTTGACGGCTTTCCGTGAGAAGCAATGAACTGATGCCACGTATTTACGCTTGGGTTGGCTTGGCCTTCAGAGGTTCTCTCTTATATGGTTGTGGTTATCACACACAGTGGAACGTTTTTTTTTGGAGGAAACAGAAATCAGTTTCGGTCTTTTCGTTTTGCGGTCGATATTCACGGTACAGTTCTTGGCCTTCAGAGGTTCTCTCTTATATGGTTGTGGTTATCACCCACAGTGGAACGTTTTTTTTTGGAGGAAACAGAAATCAGTTTCGTTCCTTTCGTTTTGCGGTCGATATTCATCGATACAGTTGGCTTCAGAGCCAGAAAATGACTGACCGGTTTTGCTTACCCAACGAGGCGTTGTGTAAAGTTTCGGCATATTCTATCCCGCGATGACACCGTGGAATTGAACTTTGCTTTAGAAGGCCACATGAACGAAAACCTCCAAATACAATATTTTTTTCCGCTTGTGACCCCAGGAATTGCATTTACCCGATAGTTCATCTTTTCGTTTTCACTTTATCATCCTATCGAATTCGTTTTATAGATCGCCTCCAAATATCAAGAACCGACTTGCTCTAAGCGTCCGCACGTAAATCAACACAAAACTATCTCTGTTTTGAACGTTGCCCGTTCTATTGTTCGGGCGAGATTGAATGGTCATGGTTCCAAGATGTTGCACCGACCTGCTCCACATTGTGGTCCATCTGTCGTCACTGCAGCCAGCAAACGACCAACCCTGATGTCTGCTTCTAACGATGCCAAAGTTACTTCCACACACTACAAGAGACCATTAACTCCAAAACGTTCACGGTATGTCGATATAACAAAGTTTGTGCAACAAACTATTTTTATTGTGGCCCTGGTTTGATTTTGTCCTTATCAGAAACTACTGCGCGTTAATCAACTCGTCTGGATTGTGTGGAACAATGATCTACTCCAACTAAATTTGAAGAACGAACTATATGCTAGCAAAGTTAACAGAATTCATTTACTTTCCGAATTAATTCAGCCTCAAACTGTTGTGGCACCAACACAACGTGCTTGCAAAGCGCTAGTATCAGAGACTAATACAGGGCTGTATGAACACGGAGCTAAGGTGAATAAAAATCTTTAACGTCTTGAAAAATCTCGGGTGTACGGATGGCCGAACAGTCGTTTGGACGTCCGTTTACATTAGGCAACAAGGTACCAGGGACACTGATGTCGAAATGTTCAATGGCTCCACACTGCTTTTATCGGGAAAACCACTCGTAACTTTGGCTGTCCGATCTCTCTACAATCCAACCAGTGGTCAAAGCAAAATGTTTTTTTTCATTAGCTCAACCATGTAAAGGCATGTGGAAAGCTGGAACGAACAGTACCGAATCCTACTCACTATCCCTCCCTACCATCCGTGCTTGCCGTTTTGACTCTGTTCTGTCTTCTTTTCGCGTTCCCAGTAACTATCTCCGTGTGACTTGGCACTCCCGCCGTGTACTTCCAGTCCCTTGTCCTCATATATCTTTTTGACAGTGATGTTTTGTGTGCTCGTTCTTCCGCATGTTTGATCATATCTGTTGCCGTGACTAGCCGGTACGATGAGATCAGGAGCAAACAAATGGGCAGCGTGTACCGATATATTTTGCATCTTTATTAGAAACATTCTGCAATCTATGTTGATACCGTTATTGAAAAATTTGTTGATTCATGGATTTCGGTCTTGATAGTGAGTTGTTTCAAGAGCAGGAGCCAAAAGGCTTCTTCTTCCGGGAAAGCTCGCTAACAAAATACTTTGAATCAGTTTGTTATTCTTTGCCCTTGGCTGCCCCGTCTTCCTCTGAGCTGTTTCGTTGTTGGTTCTCGTAATTCGCCACCAATGAAACGACACTTTCTATGGTGGTGTTAAACACTTTCATGTACGAACGTTGACACATTAGTCACTGTTCGTGATCTACATAATCGAATGTATTTTTCCGAGTGAGATAACTAACTTTAGCCTCAACGTCATGTGTTATCATCATCGTCGATAGCACATCAGTGTTCAAAACTAATTCTTTGATACCGTACAACCATAATTTATTTGAATGTCTTGTGGAGAAAAGAATGAAAGTGAATGAGGAAGGACCTAGTGCTAGTCCACCACAAGCAGTTCGACGTACCTACACCTTCAGACACTCATTTAAGCAGTCAGGATTGAAAATGACGACAAGAATAGCATTGACGTCGCTTAGTAGCCATATCTTGCAGCACATGGTGGTCACGCGGATCCCATCCTGGAAGGCGAGTCACATCAACAGCACACCAGCCTTTCGTCATCGTTTTCATACCTCTGCCAGGTCAAAGGTTAACCACCTTTCTACTTGGGCCGCTCCGAATGGGGCACGGAAAACAGCACTTTATCACAAACTATGATTCGGCATGCGAATTTGGGTCTCGTAACCTCACACGACGAGGTTATCTTCAACAGCTTAGGCAACCAGCGCGCAAATGAGTCGTCATAGGGCGATCCAACTCATCAGTACTTTGAAGTGTTGTTACCTTTGACTAGGACGATTAAAACAAACACCGTCACAAACTATAGAACTACCCCTTGATTCAGTAAGCTCGGTCAGTATATGGACTGCGCACCGAATGTAGACAATGAAGCTAAACTTGGTGTTCGAAAATCGCCGCCCAACCTATCAGTTACCATGCCAAGCACTTCACCTCCTCTGATCTGAAGGAAGGGGATTTTTGTTGAGTAGCGGTAGGCCAGAAATTATCGGCATCTTTTTATCTTTTTAGGGTTCCGTATTTTTCCGACCAATCCAGTGATAAAGTTCGCTGGATTTCGACTACGTAGTCTTTTTTTGGAGGTCGTTATTGGTGAGGTGGCGTCAAATCGGGGAACACTGTATCAAGTTACTTGATGTTGCGTTTATCCCTTCAAAGATTTGATATCGAGTGCTTCTAAGTCAGAATGCTCACCTGCCTTCTTCAGGTAGGTTGGTTTCGTAGCAGTGAAGCACCTTTGTGCAACAATTTTCCACGCAGTGCCTGTAATTCTGAGCCTCTTTGAAGTAGGAATGAAATGGTCCTCTAGAAATCGACCTGTAATTTTCTGCTTCATTGAAGCTTGATCTACGTCGAAGGGCTAGTTATTTTACTTTACAAAACGAATTCTGTCGTTTTGCTACCGAGGTTTTTTGCTCACAGAGGGTAGGACAGATCTTCTTTATACTAGAGTCGTTACGTCCTTACAGGGCCCTCCTAACTTGCAGGCCTGTCCAACATCGCCTTCTCCAGTTTTCCACTTACCTTAATGCAACGTGAAGACCGTAGACTTGGACTTGTTTGTCGCGTGCCGCTTCCTTGCCAAAGTTTTTTAGAGGACTGGTTGTTGGCAAAAGTTGACTCGGTTTTCTATACTCTTCATCTCGCCTACATTGTTGCTTGAAGACTGGCTTTCGGTTGCCGTCTTATCTGAAATGAATTTCGAGTGTCTTGATTGTCACTTCGCACCGTTTATAGTTGAGTCCTGTTTTCCCTCAGGCTCCGGTCTCCAATTAAGTTTGCTCCTTCGGCCGCACGGACAAACGATCGAAATCGCAAATCGGGTTTGCCACGCTCTGAACGTCATTCAGTGTCCCAGCCAGTTGTTACCACGAAATCTCCCCTGAAAAGAGGTATGTATTATCACACAGTGTCTTGATTGTCTTCTGTTGAGTTACTTGGGTTTTGTGTTTCCTCTTGATCCATCTATTCGGTTTCTGTTTGGCTTTGTTTGAGGTCTTATGTTTAGCTTCACTAGTGTAGGGTAAACCTGTTTGTCCTGTTGTCGAAGTGCACTGCAAATCCTCAAATTACGGTGTACTTTGAAGTGGCTATGCACAATGTTTGCTGTCCGGTCACCTTTGCTGAGGCTAGCATAGGTAATCTACGAGAAAGGTCTCGTCTTTGTGATTGCTTTCTCCGTAATATGGTAGACAATTTATCATATTTTTGTGACTAACAGGTGTCGGTATTATATCTGATCGTAGCGACGGATACATCCATAAAAAAGGGATCGGACTTGTACCGTTATTCATCGTAGAAGCCTTTTGCCCATTTTCACTTACATTTTTACATGGAACACGTCAAACTGAACATTCAGCGTGATTCTTTTTTCCTAAATGCGAACCCACCTCAATCAATGTTTTTCCGTAGTCATTGGATCCACGGGGTGCTGCTCAGACTCGAACAAAATCACCGTATCTGGTAGTTTATTTTGTGACCCTGACCTTTGTTCTTGCTGTGGGGCAAAAGTGACAGAGTTGCACCCCGTTCAAAATGAGCCCAGAAATCTCAAATCCTTGTCAGCCTGAAATTGAATCGGTTCACACCATTTTGTCGACGGAACTTTCTATGCGTAAGATTACTGAAGACTTTCCAGCAACCCGCGATCAGTTGCGCCCTTGTTGGAGCTTATGGGATAGACGCATTCCCTGAGTTCCATCAATCTTATGTTCTCCCTGAATCCAACTGTATGCAGTTTGCGAGATACACTTTTTAGCTAGGTTTTAATTGGAGACTCGAAAGAATCCCAGCTGAATCTCTCGTTCGTGATATTCTTCAGCATAATGTGCTGCGTAGAGGCTGATGTTTGTTTTATTCGGTACGCTATCCCAAATATCGTAGTATATTTTCTTGACAGACTCTGGTACTCTGAAGGCTAACCTTATCTAACACACTCAGTTGAAGGATATCACAAACGAGAGGTTCAGCTGGGATTCCGTCTGACTGTCTCGTTAAAACCAAATTAGTTTACAAGCGAGTGTATTCCGCGAATTTCATCAGCCTGTTTTACAACAGCCCACCTTTTTACCCATCCTTGCTTGCTTTCCAAAAAAGTCCAGGTTGTTTGTCCCGTAGAACGGGAGTTATGGCAAGTGTCAGATATGATTCATGGTGCGAAATGAAAAATTAACCAGACTGCGGTGCAATACCTATCCAAATACCCCTGGGTCTATTTCTCACGAGATGGAACGCCTGTGCTTGGGAGCATAGGTGCTATATCAAGGTTCTTTTAGGCTTATCAAAACCATCCAGGAGGCCCGGAAATTACCGGAAGAACTGGCCGGATGCCTGGTGGAAAAGTTAGTCCTCTCAGAAGTTAAATGTAGATACATTTGGTTGGATATGGGGCTATATACGTTTAGTATGAAAAACTATATGGGAACGATTAAAGTTCCAAACGTAATGTGGTTTAGTGGCTTACTGGTCCTTTTTTCCTTACAAGAGTGCCGTTTTCTATCAAATGAAAGAATGTTTTGGATGGCCTAAATGTAGTGCTAGCGAGAAACTGTCACTATTTATCACTGAAAGGTGCCAATAGGTATCCACTGAGGAGGGTCGACAAAGAATCCTGGCAATCGATTCACTCAATGCTACCCTCATATTGATGAAAAAAATAAATTTTGCTGGTTTTGTATAACGTGGACTGAGTATGAAATTAAGCACCACCTCGAGATGAGAACTATTTTCACTGCTTCCGAATAATGGCTGAAGGTGTTATGAAAAGGGAAATGAATAGGATGTAGGTGTTCAGGTCACGACCCGTTTATGAGTCGCGGTTGGTCGGATTTATTGGTAATTTAATACTTCCTTGCAACACCAAGGCGTACTACTGTGTAATACAGTTTCGGTCGTCCTGGCAGTAGTTACGATGCGTGAGCTCTAGTCAGTGAGGTGCTGCACCCTGTTGTCAAGTATGCCTAGTTGAGGACATTGTCGGCTGGCCACACTACAATTCTGACTTTTTGAAGTAGCTACAAATTTAAACCAAACTGCTACGTTTGCAAACCGATCATCACTATCGGTGAGAATCAGTTGGTAGGACAACAACGTTGACTCGAGGTAATCGGCGCCTTTACATCTTGCTGACTAATGTATGTTTGTTCCAGAAAACACTTGGTAGGTGCGCAATGTATACCGTTTCCTCAAAACTCTTCGCTTTGACTGGTAGGTTTTTCTTGAGAAGTGGCCTTTCTGGTTGCCTTGTTGGCAAGTTTTCAGGGTGACCTAACCGACTGTGCGTTGATTTCTAGCGTCATGTTACGATCGACATTTTCGTTTCCACTCCCCGATGGTTTTCCGTGAATGTCGCAGAAACGACGTGTTTCAAATTTCTGAAAGTTGATTCATGTAGAACATCTTGGTCTTCGCTTTCCCCGTCGTACTTCGTACAGTTTTTTTTCTTTACAGAAAACGCCTGACAACTGAAAGCGAATTACTTGGTGTTACAGTGAATCATTATTTTCTTGTCAAACGATCTAGTTTCAGCGGTTAAAGAAAATGTTTCCTTCATAGAAGATCTTGTCGTGATCTCCCAAATAGATCAGGAAAATGCTCCGGTTCGCCCCTGAGATCTCTTATTAAACAAAATCTGCTTTTTTAATGGCGTACAAGACTCTTCCTGAACGCCGTTCCAATCCTACATTGACTGTTTGAATTTGCTCGACGTGATTGGTTCATTAGTAGCTTGTGTCAGGTGGCCGTTTTTCATTGGCAGTGTCCCTGCCGTTCATCTGTTATATCAGCTGATTCGCCGGCCTGTGGTATCTGCTGCTGACCGCTCCAGTGCCTAGTGTCGGAGAGAAAAAAGGCTCACGGAAGGGAACACAATAGCTATATTCCAACAAAGTGGTTGCTAGAGCGCGAGTGCGAAAAGTACAACGGCCTCAAGCTTTTTATGGGGGGGACACTGTCTGAACTTGGTCCAATGCTGACGCACGCGGTCTGGCTTTATTACGAAGCAGCGACGTGCTGCATATTGCGGAGGCGTTGTCTGTCCTTGATCAACGCTGACTCGCGCTGTCTGGGTTTGATGCAAGGCTGTGACGCGCTGCATATTGAGGGGGCGTTGTCTATCTGGTCAACACCCAGCGGAGCTGAGAGTCCCCGTAGATTCCGGGCATTCAGTGGTTGCTTTCAGGAAGCTGACCTTCCTGATAATCTACATCGCTAAAACAAATAAATCTTGCTAACTGGACTACTTGGCCTGCGTCATCTTCGATTGTACACTGTGGTTGATCGACAGGCTTTGAATCGGATTCGGATGGTTACTAGCCGATGTTTTGCCTTGTAACTTGTTGGAACTGCATCCCCTCATACACCTACAAACCTATTCCGTTATTTCTCTTAGCTACAGCTGGGCCGAAACTTTTGTAGCTAGAAACTGGAAGTGGATATCCTAAATTTTATAGCCCCTCACTGTTTCCCATTGATTATCTTCACCTGACTCAGGCACAGATTCCTCTGAACTGGACGCGGTCCGACCAGAGCGCAGGTTATTCGGTTCTCCTGACGCACCAGTCTGCGTTCCAGTCAAACGAACTTCCGATATCATCCCTCGTGAGCTCTGTCAAGACCCAGAGGGCCGACCGGTATCTGTACATGACTTCGTGGAGTTCATTTGCTACCATGGTAAGTTTTAATACCCCAACTGTCGCATTTTTGCTATAGCTGCATGGCAACACTGATGTGACATGGCAATGTTGCCGTTATTGATCTTGGTGACATTTTCCGTCTATAGTCATCCGTACTATTGTTAAAAGCTTCAAGGATATGGTTTCTGTGGTTTTTCTGTTTCCCTAGTTACACTTTGTGCTCGCGTTTAGTCCAGAGCCTCCTTGCTTATTGTGGTTTTATATATGGCTTCTGTCCCCCACGATGAGGTCACTTTCTCTATTCGTTGCCCGCGTCCCGTCAAGTTGGATTTCTCTGCTCGCCCATGATGGGGCTCTGAATATGTCTACTTATTGCACAATAAACTTCAACAGAGTGCCCATTTCTTGGCAGCTGTCCACAGAATGTCTGGCTATATTCAGCTTTCTTCGCATAGAATATAAGTCTCCAGTTAGGTACACTGTGTGTGATTTGGCTACACCGTAAACTACTAGTCGTTGGATGTTGTGCCGTGAGGCTTTGTCGGCCCACTAATAGGTTGCGATTCTATTAATGTTGACTTTTGACTTTTCAGGAACACCATGTTTAGATCCCAAATTGGAGTGGTTCGATCAAACCCGCAGACGTTCTACTGCGTCAAACTCACCCAAGCTTCCATTTTGGGGTTGCAGATCAGGAAGCAATTCGTGTCCTGGAGACGACCTTAAAACGTTCCAGAGGGGCGATTCGGTCTCAACCGCCGGATCTGTAACACAAGCGTGTCCATCACGATCTGCAAAATCGGAGGACCATCTTATTTCGAGTCCACAGTCACGTTTGTTTTCCATAAGTTCGAAGATTTGCGTTGCCAAAAAGCTTGCATCGGCTCATCCCCATGATGTCTGCATACGGTCACCCATTCTCGAAATACCATCTGAAATTCCATCCATTTCATCAAAGCCAGAAGATATTGATCTGTTAATTCCCCAGTCTACGATCGCGCTCCCACGGAAACCAAGTCGAAACACTCGAGGTCTTTGTGTGACGAGAAATAGTACAGGTATGCACATCTGATGTAATTGTTCCCTACCATTTACTATACTGTTTTGTGGTCTAATTCGCTCCTTAGTTTTTCGAGAGTTTTATTAGTGGTCCCGGCTTTCAGATAGGCGTGGCATAAGGTCGTCGCTAGACTCACTGAACCACTCATCCGAACGATTTTAATCGCCTCTTGAATTTGAACGTTTTAAAGAATTTCTCATCTCATCATCCCTAGTTGTTGATGATTTCCACTGAAATTGCTAGACGGCTACTGATGGGTAGTCACACACTACATAATCGCATGTGCCAGTTTGACCAAGGGCCTCAAGCTTCCCTGACTTTTCCAGCAGTTGGATTTGATGCTGCTTGAGCAGAGGAGAAGTGCTTCGCCCACCCAAACTTTGTTCGTATTCCAAAAGCAAGTTGGGTTCACAATTCCTCAATAAGTGTATTGGTGATACCTTCAGGAATATCAAGACAATTGTTACCCAGAAAACTACCGGTGCTCTCGATAGACAGTTACTACTAGCTTGACTTAACTCCATATGATCAAAGGTAGAAACAAAAATTCAATAATAATTCACCTTTGTCCACTCTCTGGACTTGTAAATGGTGGATTGCGGTTTTCGACAAACTTGAACTGTTGAAGTGGTCAATGCTACGGACAATTGTAGGGCGTGTTGATATCACAAACAAACTGGTGTCTGGTCATCGAGATATCAAATAAGTTGGGATCAGGTGGTTTCATATTCGAACGGCTTTTTATCCCATAAAGCACGATCATTTGGCCACCTGAACATCAGTTGACTAGAGTTTGGATTGGACTTTCTGATTATGGGGTTTTTGAGGGTGTTGCTACATCAAGGTTGTGACTTGCGAATACGATCCATTTGGTTTGTTCTAACCGATGTTGCCCGATGTCGTCAAGCCGGATAATGAACTCGACCCTGGCTAGGCCCATTATTGCAGTACCCTTTTTTGTTAGGTTTCTTTCCTGCACTATTGTCTGTTTGTATTCTGGCTCCAGTAAAACAGGTCATCATGATCACTGAAAGCAACACCCCGTCGAGAATACTGATGTCTAACTGCCGTACAACCATGTCAGTCTATATGTATGTTGCCTAGTGATGGAAAAGAGAAAAAGAAGACAATGAGGGGACCTGAGACTAACTTACCACAAATATCCGCGTTTCCTAGACCTCTAACGCTCATTCAGACAATCTAACAACATGAGCGCTATGGATATTGGTTAGCTGTCGTTCAGTGGGTCCAGCCGTGCCTAGGGAGATTCACGTGAATTCCACCCTGAAGGGTAGACAGCACCAACAACACCCGAACTTTCCGTAACATCCATACATCCTTCATTCTCTTCGGCCATATCAACTTCTGTCCACCTCTAGGTTTCCACTATTCCAAATTAGGTAAGGAAAATAACCCCCTTGCACGCCCCCTGCATTAGTTTACAGTACTGGATACATAGTTTGATTGAAGTACCACCGCACTGAACTATTTGGTCATTTCAGCTGAGGGTACTTTTCGTTACTGAGGTAACTGGTAAACTTATGAGCCGAGAAGATTGAAACAGGTAACTGCGCGGAAGCAGTCACTTTTGAAAATTTCATGTTTATGACCCTTGGAAGACCTCATATCTAGATCGCTGCTCTAGATTGAGTCCACTAAATTATTCTTACCGGAATGCGTTTACGGTCCATAGTCGGTCATCGAACTAAACACAAACTAGCGAGGCAGTAACATGAAATATACTTGCATTTATGCTTTCACCTTTCCTCTCACCTATGTTTGGTTGATGTTCCTCTACTCTGCTTATGCTTGAAATTGGGTGATTCCTCCATCTAACAACTATCTGTTTCAACTTTTCAGGCACTTCACGCCGCTCCCGGAACCGTCATTAAGTGATCATTGTCTACACTCGCTTGACATCGGTGCATTTCTGCGTAATTTATCTTTTCCACCTATCCATTTTTATCACTTCGATATTTTTATTTATCTTTGTGTGTAGGATACTTTCCCAATTCGACTGGAAACACCACACTTTGTATTTTTCACGTTCAGTTCATACTGCGGAGTTTTTTGTCTTTTTCCGCCACGAATTCAATGACTCAGTGAATACCGGTTCAATATGCAACATTTATCATTCAACCATTTGTAAGATTGTCTGATGAATATTGTTTGTATCGCATGGATTTATTGTATTTTCGAACGAATTTTATGACGTCATATTGATTTGCAATGAAATTGGTTGAATTATGACCTTAGTTTTTCCATGGGCCACCGGACTTTGACGAAGTAGAGTTAAGTCTTGCTTTGTGTTTTGTGTTAAGTACTTGAAACTTCTAGAACTACTAAGGTCTACAAGAGTCACCATTCTCTATTGATTTTAAAAGAGCAGTTCTGGGCACTACTGTGCGCGCCACCTCAGTATAGTCAGCTTTTCTATCTCACGACAGGCAGAGCGGACGTGTGACTTACCTAGATCTCTGCTACCTAAATTGAGTAAGCTGTTAGTGTACTTGGTAGCAAAACTACAACTTTTGCGTATAAAATCGAAACAACCTTGGAGACAGTCATGCATCATCGTCGTGACGTGGATGGTTTGCTATTTGCGCCGGCGCCTGTGTTTTACCAAACATGGATCTTATTTTCATGTCCCAAATAAGTCTGCAGCTTTAACAATTCCATCGTGTTTTCCTGCCGAGTATGGCATGGAGCGTCAACCGTTTCACTTCACGTTTGTCCGCTACCAACGGGAATGTTATAATCTCCGAGACTGCCGTCATGGATATCAATACGTCAGCAGTACCTACAGTACGAAGTAGCAATATGGGCCTATAGGAATTGTTTTTGATAAGAGATTTGCTGCGTGTGACTTGACATGTCTCTCTTCGTCTTCCTTTGGCACTGTATGTGTTGGGCGCGTTTGCGCCTGTGACAACATGACGATGTTTCACAAGCTCAGACAATCACCCAATCATTGTGATGTTACCACCCGGTGATTCTATTTTCAGCTCGTTGCGTCTCGTTACTCTGCGTTCATTGACATCGTTTCATTCATTAGGGGTAGGGTTCGGTGTTGCTTGGGGACGGAAACTAGCAGCAGTGACAAGCAAGTGTTCGGCAATGTCGCTATTTCCAAGTTCGTAAATCAGGACAAATCAGTACAACTCTGGACCTTTTGGAATGATAAAGTCGATACCTACACTTATGTTCACCCTCCTGTAAACTCACAGGTCACACTGAGTTCATTAGTCCATAGGTATGAGTTTTCTCCTCCCCCTGAGCATTTCCTTAGCTGTTCCTAACGTCATTCTAACTGTTGATCGCCCACTTTGATGGAACAAAATGAAGGACTTTACATTCGCTTTATAGGTTCACAGAAGGCTTCGTGTGAGGCCCCATCCGTTTAAAGCTGGCCTTATCTTTGAAAGTCCATCACTAGGTGTCAATCAGGATTTTGTTGGGTCTAGATTGGGAATATTGGCACGAATCCATTTACGGTCATCTGCTCACCGATATGGTGAACAATGTATCAAGTTTATGTGAACCTTGGTCTAACCAGCCACTGATTAATTCAAATATGTTGATTCCTGGAGGGTCATGGATCTCGGTGAAGGACCTGTTAGTGAAGTGAAAATGTTTACTCCACTTTTTTTAATAAATAGATACCAACAACGTGAGGTATTCCTCCATTGGGATTCATCACGACACACGACCCTTATTAGTGATCTCAGGCCGTTGACATGTCCGATCCGGCTGAGCTCATCTGATTAGTGATAGTGGATTAGAGGATTGTGTGGCTGAAATTTTCGGATTGCAACTACGTTCGTAGCATAAGTATCGTGCTCGGACTTTCGTTACTGTCTTATAGCGTTAATGATGTGGTGATACGTTGTACAACAGTTTGTGTGATGCACAATTGGGCGCAAAAGATAGTTGAAATCCTTAATCCTTAGCTGTTACTGAATCCAGCGTGCATGAAAATGATAACTGAAGAGTAATACGTAACGTCACTCAGTTGGACATCATAAATCTACCGTCTACTGTAGCCCACTTAGATTTTTTTTTCGTTCAGCCAACTTCTCAGCAATAACCTCGATAACAACATAAATCAGTGGCCCTGCACGTTGCCGTATTTCACACTTGCTGATTAAGCTTCGAGAACATATTTCCGATGCTCATGGTTGATGATAATTCTTACGAACAATAGTTCCCCCATACTGTACCCCAATATATGACCTTATGACTGTATGACCCAGAACCACGCAGATAGACTTAGCCAAAAAATACGTCCAGTTGTCTTGGTCGTTATTGTGAACGCGACAGTGATCGCTTAGCTACTTTATTATTGGTCTGACGGTTAACAGGAGTGTTTTAATAATTACAACATAGTGTGTGGCTGCTTCACAGTGCCACTTCTGTTCAAGGTGTCTCCAGCGAAAGAACTCGTAGTCATGCTACTTGGGCGTGCTGCATAAGCATTCATGACCACACTCCCTAGTACGAGTACACTCTCCACCGACATGGACATACACTCGTTGTTTCTGTGAGCACACATCATGAATGTGGGCATTCTGCATGTTTTCATGTGCGTCATCTCCTGTTTAGTTCTGCCGGTAGTGGCCCCCGGTCAACTTTCTGCTTAATAATCGGCGCTTGAGAAGCATTCGGTTGCACTGACGCAAGGCAGTTAGGTCGCTTCGTCTACCTACTCTTCCGCTTTACTTTCTTCCCGTGGTCTGCTTGTTCCACAACAGAACGGTAGGCTTTGCCACTCATACTGATTAGTGTTGGAATGATAATGGGCATCCACCATTCACCCACCATCAAAACAGCTTGCCAATAGTTCCAAAATCGCTTTCAGTTGCGAAAAGCTAACTGGTGCGATCAGCTGACGGTGACTACATATGGACTCGGTTACTACCTTGGACCATAGGGTGGTTGGTTGGTAAAAAAATTACAGGACATAGTTTGATGTTCTGTGCTGAAAAGGCTAACCTTATCTGGAGTGGAACACCAACTGGAACGAAAATATCATTGCTTTAGTTTCGACGTTAAACACAAACCAAAACCTGTCGGGGGTAGTAAGTTTTGGAGACTGTTCGCCGGTTAAATCACCCTTATCCCCATTATTTATGATTGAGTCCTTGTCCTCGGATTTTTCCGGTGGTCGCGACTGGCTGCATGTGAGTAAATATTTTCTGGGTGGTTTAAATTCTTGGTTTCTGAGCCGTCAGATCATAAAAGTCAGTTTACTATCAAGAATCTAGCAACAAGCAAGAGAACCCCTTCGGGTAATCGGATACCTTCAAAGACGGAAATTCGCACGCAACACTATGGGCCAAAACATGAGCTGAAATTGGGCAAAAGTTTTCATGTTTTTGTATGCCTGAGAGAAATCAGAACGGTTCGAGTGTGAGTGAGTCAGATCAAATAGAGTTCACTTCACTAGCAGAATGAAGAAAGGTGGAAACATGTACATAGACCTCATACCGAAGCAAGCAATAAATCCTACCTTTCGAAAAGAAATCAAGAGTTTCCCCGTGGACCAAAATTAGCCGGGATAGTGAGATGCATCAACTATAGCGCCGGCAGAAATATTGCATTGAAATCCGACAGAAAACGAGGTAATCATTCTCTTGATTGACAAATCGAAACCTAATCTTTACAGTCGATCATTGCCATGATTGCTTAATTACGTGGTTGGTTGATCGGAACCAGCCCGTATGATTTGAAAAAGTGACCTTCGGTTTTGGGATTTTGGTCTTTCAAAGGTCGCACCCTTATAAAACTTCAAATCGTGACGGAGTCCGAAAGGCCTACTGGGGGAGATATCAGATGTGGGAAGTGTGGGCGAAGAGCTGTAATGATATTCGCGTTTTTTCCAGCCAGGTTTCTCGCTTTGTAAAACCAGTGGAGAATTTTCTTGACATGACAATTGCGAGCGCGGTTCGAACCGGAAGATTCTTGCAGGAATCTCGTTCACCACGGGCATTTGTGAAGCGAATCGGGATGGATAGAGGTTCGA